AGGTAGGGATTTTGATTGCCCTCATGGTGGTTTTCACTGAAAGAATTTAACTTCCATCGTTGAGGCAGTAAATCTGTGTTAAAGAAGGTTTGTTGAGGAGCACAGGTTTGGGAGTGGGATCAAGAACCACCTAAAGAGGGAGAAGATAGATGTGTCATAAATTAGACTGTACAAGTAGTAGTGAAGCATTCAGGGCACTCTTTAAAAGATATATTCCTACTTGATTCTGTGCATTCTGGTGTAATAGTCTCCAGAAAATGGTTGTTTATGATCTATCCATATTTGTAGTTAGCTCCTTTGGCCTTGAAATCGTGACAATGATGGCTTTAAAAGTGGAGGTTTTAGAAACATTTAATAAGATGTGCATTTGTACATACAAGCATCCAAGTCCCCGAAGTTATGAATTGCATAGAGAAGCACCGGTTATCCAGACACAGAATAATCCCCGAAGGACCCCAACCACTTGTAATACTAGTTGCCACTCAGACCTTCTTCCCCGCTTACCATCTGCTTCTTTCTTTGCCCATCTACATTATTTTGTTTGTGGGGATCACTGTTATTCTCTCAGTTGTTGGTATTATCAATAGCTGATAATATGATGCCGAATTTTTCTCCTGCATTATTTTCTTCTGTCAAAATATAAGTTCACTGAAGGAAGAAATTTTGACTTGTTTTGTTCACCATTAATTCCTTAGCGGAGCCCTGGTGGTGCAGTGGTTTAAGAGCTGTGGCTGCTAACCAAAAGGCCGGCAGTGTGAATCCGCCAGCAGCTCCTTGGAAACCCTATGGTGCAGTTCTACTCTGTCCTAAAGAGGGTCACTGTGAGTCTGAATCAACTCGATGGCGACTGGTTTGTTTGTTTTTGTAATTGCCTAGCAGCTGGAACAGTAACTAGCACATACATCCAGTGAGTATTGGGTGAGTGAATTAATGAATTGCAAGGATCTTTTAAAAAACAATTACTTGAATGTCAGGGACAAGAGAGACGCTTGGAAGCATTACTGAATGCTCTAAGTGTGTTTGTAGAAGGGACCCTTATGATTGTGCAGCCAGAGAAAAAGTCTTTTGTCCATCAAACAATTTCATCTGAACAGTTACGATTCCCAAACCGTTACTCAACATTGAAGTTGTTTCTTGTTCGGTGAGAATTATCACATAGTTGTAATAATAATCCAAATTTTGTTAAATATAAGATAAACCTATTTTCACCATTTAGACAGAAACTTTTTTTTTGCCTTTTACTATTAAATTTTAGTTCTTGTTCTAAGTGCTTGCACTGCTTGTGACCTTTTTCAGTTATCAGTTATAGTGTAAGACCTCCTGAAACTCCTGTAAAATGAAAAAAAGGCATGAATGGCTAGAGAATTTTGTTTCCTTGTAGGTCTGCCATCAATTACAGCCACTCTGTAATGGAGGCCATTGAATATGTCTTGTGTATTACTGCCTCCTATTGTGAAGGGAGGAGATATAACCCTTACTGATGAAAACAGTCCCTGGGCAAACCACATTGTTGTTAGCTGTGGTCGAGACAGCTCGGACTCATGTGGAATGAGTCATTGTCTGGTCCTGCGCCATCTTCGTGAGTTGGTATGTTTGAGTCCATCGTTGCAGCTGTTGTGTCAGTCCGTCCGTCTGAGGGCGTCCCTCATCTTTGCCGGCCCTCTGCTTTACCAAACTTGATATCCTTCTCCAGTGTTTGGTCCCTGCTGACGATGCATCCAAAGTAAGTGAGTCGAAGTCTTGGACAATATTTTGTGATCCGTTGGCTAATTTTTGAAAGTAGATTGACAGGCCTTTCTTTGAGTCTTAGTCTGGAAGCTGTGCTGAAACCTGTCTCCCATGGATGACCCTGCTTGTGTTTGAAATACTGGTGGCATAGCTTCCAGCATCGTTGCAGCACACAAGCCACCCCGGTGTGACAAACTGGCAGACAAGTGGTGGTAGCAAATTACATAGGCTTGGCTAATTTTAAGATATCAAAAAACCAAACCCGTTGCCACTGGGTCGATTCTGACTCATAGCAACCCTATAGGGCAGAGTAGAACTGCCTCATAGAGTTTCCAAGGAGCGACTGGTGGATTCAAATTGCTGACTTTTTGGTTAACAGCTGAACTCTTAACCACTGTGCCACCAGGGCTCCAAGTTTTTTTTTTTTAAGATACTTTCCTTTATTGCTGTTTCGTGCTAAATCCCTACTTTATTAACTGTCTTAATTTCATAAGGCTGCTGTAACAAAATATCACAAAGTTGGGTGGCTTTTAGATAAAAGAAATTTATTGTCTCACAGTTTAGGAGGCTGAAAATCCAAATCAGGGTATCAGCCATATCGATTCCTTCTGCGGGCTGTGAGAGAGAAACTGTACCTTGCCTCTCTCCTAGCTGCTGCTGGCCGCTGGCAACCCTTGGTGTTCTTTTGCTGCTTGTAGGTGTATCCTCACGCGGCACCTTCTCCCTGTCTGACTCAGGCTCAATATCGGTTCTTCCCTTTTGTAAGACACCACTCAGAAGGGATCAGGATCCAGCCTACTCCAGTGTGACCTGTTAACTGATTACATTTTCAAAGAATGACTATTTCCAAACAAGGTCACATTCACGGGTCAGGGGTTAGGACTTCAACGTAACTTTTTGCCACACAGTTCAATCCACAGTATTAACATTTTGCATGATGAGTTTAACAAACGAAGTTATGTTAAATGAAAGTGAGCGCGGGGTGCTATAACTAGTACAGTGAGTTGTGTAATATATTATTTATTCATCCCTTTTGTTAAACTACATTTTTTTCTCAATTTTTTTTTTTGATGGCATGTGTTTTAAGTATTGGAATGCATGCTTACAAATTGAGTGTGTTTAAATTTTTGGTTGGTAATCATGGATTTTGAGAAATATGATCTTGTAATACAAGCCACCAATGAAGTGAGTGGCACTGTGGTGCCACCAATCTGTGGTATGACAGTATACCAGTGAGATCTAGTGTCTTAGTCATCTAGTGCTGCTATAACAGAAATACTACAAGTGGATGGCTTTAATAAAGAGAATTTTATTCTCTCACAGTCCAGTAGGCTGCAAGTCCAAATTCAGGGCATCAGCTCCAGGGGAACGCTTTCTCTTTCGGCTCTGAAGGAAGGTCCATGTCATCAATCTTCCCTTGGTCTGGGAGCATCTTAGCGCTGGAACCTCAGGTCCAAAGGACACGCTCTGTTCCTGTCACTGCTTTCTTGGTGGTATGAGGTTCCCATGTGTCTCTGTTCGCTTCTTTCTTTTGTATCTCAAAAGAGATTGGCTTAAGGCACTATCTAGTAGATCACATCAGTATAACTGCAGCTAATCCATAGAGTTTACGACACATAAGGAAATCATATCAGATTACAAAATGGTACACAATTATACAATACTGGGAATCATGACCTAGCCAAGTTGACAGATATTTTGGGGGGACACAATTCAATCCATGACAGCTAGATAAATAATTTTTTTTGCGGGCACCTTTCTATTAGGTTACGTGGGAAACCCCTGGTTTTCCAAATATGACAGAGAAAAACTAAAACCCATCAGGGCTCTCTAACTATCACACAGGAAAGCCATAATTAGACTTGCAAGCCTTATCTCAAGAAATTAAGGGGAAAAAAAGGCAAAAGTTTACAAAACTAACACATCCAGGAAGCATCACCTAATAGAATGCTCAACTTACACAACAGTGAGGCTTCCACACCCATCTGCTGAGCTTCATGCATTTCAAAGGGACCCAATCTTGATTCTAAATGCATTAGAACTGGAACAATGCCTTACCTCTGAGATCTGGAGGCATAAAAAGTGGCTGGTATACTGTTAACCCAGTGGTAATGAAAGAGTTACTACTGCATAACAAATTACCCCAAAACTTAGTGGCTTAAAAAACACCAAATATTTATCATCCCACAGATTCAGAGGAGCAGGAGAATGGATGTGGCGTAGATGTGTGCCTCCAGCTTAAATGTTCTTATGAGGATGTAGTCAAGCTGTTGCGCAGAGCTGTGGTCTCATACGAAGGCTTGACTAGGAAAGGATATGCTTCCAGACTTACGTGGTTGTTGGCACGCTCTTGGGCTGAAGGCCTCAGTTCCTTGCTAGTTGTTGGCTGGAGACCACCCTCAGTTTTTTACCATGTGGGCCTCTCCATAGGGCAGCTTTTCTCAAGAGTCACTGAGAGAGCAGCTGAGATGGAAGCCGCAGTTCTTTTGTACACTAATCTCAGTAGTGACATACTGTCACTTCTGCATGTTTTATTTATTAGAAGCAAGTAATTAAGTCCAGGCCACTCAACAGGAGGAGATTATGCAAGGGTGTGAATACTAGGATGAGGCCATCTTAGAGGCTGCCTACCACACAGAACCCAAAAAACCAAATCACACCCACTGCCGTAGAGTCAGTTCTGACTCAGAGCGACCCTATAGGACAGAAGTAGAACTGCCCCATAGGGTTTCCAAGGCTATAATCTTTACGGAAGCAGACTGCCACATCTTTCCCCTGTGGAGCCACTGGTGGTTTTGAACTGCCGACCTTTTGGTTAGCAACTGAGTACTTTAACCACTGCGCCACCAGTGCTCCTCTACCACACATGGTAACATACAAATGTGGATATATTTCTTATAAAGTAAAAGTATATTTCTAAACTACATTATTTTATTTTGCCAATTAGAAGCAGATGAAATCAGTAGATGATATCTAATTTAAAAAATCAGAACCTCTAGTTTTTGTGAACAAAAATACCAAAGCACCAAAGAATTCGATTTTTCAAGTGTAGTATATGATGTCTATGCTTCAGAATATATTAAATTGCTTAAAAATTGACAACTGAGATTTTTAAAATGTTGTCAGTTGTTTTTTGCTTTTGTTCCACTGTATCAAACCTTGTTTTGAAATCATTAGCGAGACTGATGAGCAAGAATTATGTCTATATTTAATGTTAATAACAACATATTAATAACATCCTTCATATCTCTCCATTCTTTGCTCCCCATTAGATCGATCTGGAATAGAAAACGTCAACTCTGTGGAGGCTTTGCAGGAAACCCTCATCCGTGCACTAAGAACTTTAATAATGAAAAACCATCCAAACGAGGCCTCTATTTTTACGAAACTTCTTCTAAAGTTGCCAGACCTGCGGTCTTTAAACAACATGCACTCTGAGGAGCTCTTGGCCTTTAAAGTTCACCCCTAAGGCCTTTGTTCATTCAAACATGAACTGATTCATGGTAACTGTACATCTTGTGCTTAAAATGCTTATTTATGTGTGTATCCCATATGTGGAGATAGAGGAGACCTCTGAGACATCGCGACATTGTAGGCTCTGTCTGTAAGCACGCAGTCGCTGTTTGGATCGAGAACTCTTCAGCCATGACTAGATGTCGACCACATCTTCCCGATAGACCAATCAGCTGTGTCGCACTTAAACTGGAGAAGTTACACTGAATTATAATCACACTGAATGTTAGACTTTTTTATCTGCCAAAAACCAAAAATCATTTTGATCTCCCTGTGGTATGAATATAACGCACAATCACAAGTATATGAGGACTTAGAAACTAATCCTGTTGTTTTGTTAAATGATGGAAATCGTGGTTTCACCACAAGACCATTTGACTTGGGAATTGGAGACTTGGGGAGTTTGGAGACCTCATTCTACTCCGCAGCTGGTAAACTGTGTGATTCTCGGCAGGCTCCTTGGTTGTGGAAAATAAGAACTGATCTTGTCCCCAGTGCCCCAACTCACAGAAATATGAAAACATGTCTATAAAGCATATTTACCTCTTGGGAGATAGGCACTGTGTAAATATGGTGAAATTTTTGTTACAATTATTCATAATATTCTTTTCTTACTTCTGAGCATTTTTGGGGAATCATTTCACAACCCACACCAATCTATTATTCAGGTTTCCTGCATATATGTGGGATATCCTACTGACACATATTCAGTGTTTATGGGTACATAAAATACATAACGTGTACATAATATGTATGTGAATATAGTTATACATAAATATATCTCTTCACAATATTTTAAACTGTGAAGAACTTTATCATACAATAAACTTAAAACAAGAGGTGTCGAAAGACCCAAATTAGGTGCATTTTACCTGTTAATGACATAACCATTGCTTCGAGATGTTTAGATGGTAGAATACTGAATTTATGCTCTATTTTTGTTAAGTTAAGCAACACTTAATGTAAAAGTGCAACAGGCAGTCAAGTCCAAGTGTTAAAATACATGTATTTTAGAGTTCATCTTAGTAAAATAATTGTTCAAGGTACTAGCTGTTTAAAAGTTCATTCATATTCTTACCTTGTGCTAAAACAAGGTTGCATTGCTGCCCCTTATACACATGCTGCAGCTTGGTGAGGAAGAATTTTGATTCTTTTTGGAGACCTAATCAATATTTAAGAAAACTGTGTTTAATATGTTGGCACGTGTGTGCGCCTGCGCGTGTGTTCTGAGTCCACTTTTTTCCCCTAAATGATACTACTGGGATTTTATCAAATTAGATTTAATTTATAATTTGAAAAATCATTTAGTGTGTGACCTACAGACTTAGAAATGGAATAGTCAAGTACATTTCATCCACATTTCTAATATTGGGCTTTATAAATAGAAAAGATGAGCCTCTGTTTATGACAGTTGGAGAAATTAGCTGAAGCTGAGGATTTTATGTACGTTTCTCTCTTTCCCTAGAAAATAGCAATTGATTAGATTATTTTTTGGGTAAAGATTGCCTTCTATATGATTTTTTGATTCTATAAAGTTACAAAAATGAACCCAGTTTACTATACTAAGCGTGTTAACTTTTATGATGTGAGCAGAATGCCTTATTTTGTAATCTTGCTTAACTTGTTGCTACTGGGACTTGAATTTCTGTGGCACTAGTTAAGTAAGTTAAAAAAAAATTAAACCCTCTCATTATGAAAGAGGAAAGCTGATGGTGATGTTGATGATAAATATAAACCATACTTGTGCTTTTCCTTAAGTAGGTCTGACTTTCATGGGATATTCAGCATAGTTTTTGTGAATTCTTTACATGATAGCATTATCTTTTTATATTTTTTTTCCTATGATAAACAAATGCATAGTTTTGTTCTATGGGGGATAGAAACAGCTTTTTGAAGTAGTATTGAAAACCTCAAAGATCATGTTGATTTCTTGATTTTTTCCTTTTGCAAGTCTCTTTATAACATGTATCTTTAAAACAATTACTGAGTCTTTAGGAATGTGTAATCAGAGCTGTGTTAGTATTGCTTATAAAACTTTCGTTAGGTTCAGTATATACATGAATACGTCTCTAACTATACAGATTCACATTTTGTCTTATAAAGTTTTGAGTAAATTCTTCCTGTAGGTAATGGGAAACAAAAAAAAAAATAAAAAATAGTTCATATGCCACTCATAGCTTTTCCGTATTTGAAAATAGCCCAATATTGAAACTTCTAAAGTTAAACCAGCAGCCTATTACAAGCACATTCTTTGACTGAGTCTTTGGTTATAAACTTAACTGAATGTGGAGAAGACACCCAGGTAAGGAAATTTCTGAGTTGGTGAGACACTGTCGAGTGATTAACAATGTACTGTATGAATTAAGTGATGCTTTAACTCTGATTTTACATTTTAAAGTGAAAATATGGGCATTATGTCAGCACACTCCAAGGGCATTATGTCAGCAAGCTAAAAAAAATTTTTTTCTGTGCTTTTAATGTATCTCTTTACATGATCTGAGAGGGGATTCAAGAGTTTAGAGAGAAATAGCCTAGGAAAAGGAGAACCGTGTCTTGAGATGATGCTTTTCCTTATGGCAATGGTTTAATTACAGATTAAAAAATTGGAAGGAGATTTCAGTGGATTAAGTGTATAGCTTTCATGTCTACATTTCAAGAAATTACCATTGTAACTTGATATGATTTATGCAAACATCATTGCAAAGCAAGATGTAGAAGCTCAGCTAAATTTATTACCGTGCACGAAAGGAAAATAAATACCTATCTCAATTGCTCTTTTTCTTTTCCAGGATAAAGTTTGCTGAATGTACAAGGAGAGTTTATCACTTAGGATGTAGAATTTTTTTTTAGGGGTTGGGAGGAGGGGCTTTGTCAGGAAACTGTTACTTATAAGCAAAGATTGTCTTGATTTGATCCAAAACATAAAACTTGAACCTATTCTTGAACTAACATGGAAAAATAAAATGGCTATTGTTTAAAAAAATGGTAGAAATATATTGTTGACAGCGTAAGGGTTAAGTTTATTTTCTACAGACTGTAACTGATGACATGGATACCATCCCCATGTTTCTGAAAAGTAACCTGTACGTGGGGGGAGGGGGTAATAAATATTTCTAACCAAATATGGGTTTTTGGTGGCTTTCTACCTTGACGTTTTTGTAAAATCATTTATAATTTAACTCGTTATGAGTTATGGGCATAAGATGATCTCTTATGTAAATCTCTGATTCAGTACCGGGGAATCTATATATGCAGTTTTGTTTTTTTTTAACAAAAGCTTCTAGAGTTTGTTCAGAGGTTCCAGCAAGGACTATTGGTGTTTTCTAAAATCCCAACTGAACAATGGTTCACTGTATCTGGTAAGGTAGTCTTTTTGGGAAGGAGATGATGAGAGAGGAAGGGGTTTCTTAATCCAACCAGAGATCAGCCTTGGCCAATGAGATAAGGGGCCTCAGCAAGACCACGCTTTCTCCCTTTCCTAGTCGTCATACCCACGCTGGCAAAGTTAAGGCAGTTATTTAAATCAGCATTACCTGCAGTGTTTCCCAGACCAGTAATACCCACCACTTTCTGTGGATATTAATTGACGTTAGGTGGGAGAGCCGATGAAATTAAACAAGATCACTGAGACGTCTATCCTGTCCTCTAAAGCTGGCGTGCATTGTGGAGTGTTTAAGGATGGCTTTAATGGGATGCAGTTTTTCCCAAACTTCACCACCAAGTAACTTTTTCCCCTGTGCTGAGCGCTTCCCGGGGCTCCTTGGAGAGCGTGCTGTTAGGAGATAAGACCTCGCTACCCTTGTGCCCACTTGGGTGTTGGTCAGGATGTTATTCAAATGCAGTGGAGTATTGTACATATTTGCATTTTATTTGCCCGTTTTGCAGTCTAACAAGAAAACACCGAGTTCCAAATAAGTGTGTGTGTGATGGAAAACAATGGATTAAATTTTTTTTCTAAATTTTGAAAATGCTACCTGTGATAAGTGAACGAAGACAGCCACATCACAGATGGGGTTTTCGTGTTTACATTCAGTTGGGCCTGTGTTAAAATTTGTTACGTTTGCTCTTCTTAATTCTCAGTCTGGCTAAAAGCTTTGAAACAGCCGTGGCCTGCGTTCTAGTCACCGCCTCAGAGGCGCTCCTCATTGTGAGAGTTAGTTGCTTTGGGTGATTTTCAGACACCAGAGTCTCAGATCCACTTAGAACAATACTTTGGATCTGATGGGTGTAGGAGCCATAGGATAGGCTTGGAAGTTCAGAACCTCTCCACACTGCTTGATAGGGAACAAAGTGACAGGGGCCAACTCCCAGAATGTAAACATGCTCTCAAAAGTAGCATTTCCCATACATTATAAGTCACTGAGGGGAGATCAGTGTTCTTAAAAAAACTGAAATAGCAAAATACTTAAGATGAATATGGTTAAATTTTTTTACCCCCATTTTTCCTACTGGAGCCTGTAAAGTCAAATATGATCTAAAGTCTCTGAGGTAACTTCTGTATTTTTTTTTCTTCTGTTGTCTCCTTTTTCTCCAAATTCTTAACCTTAGCAGCCCCCCCGCCCCCATTACGTTGTTGCTTTGCTTGTAAATTTTCATCTAATTTTTTTCCCCTCACTATAACCATTTTATTTCCTGTTCAGGCACTCCAGTTAACAGACACAGGCAGAGAAGAGTTTCCAAAGTGGAAAGCACCTACTTTCATTCTGTCTTGATCACCTCTTAGCTCCTTACAAAGACTGCTCTTTTTCTAAGCTGTTTTACCTGGCAAGATTTTCAAGAATAGACTGATGATTGTTTAGCCATTCATTAATTGCACACATATTTACCAAACATCCGTGGGTCGGGGGAAACCCTGGTGGCGTAGTGGTTAAGTGCTACAGCTGCTAACCAAAAAAGCAGTTTGAATCCACCAGTTTCTCCTTGGAAACTCTATGGGGCAGTTCCACTCTGTCCTGTGGGGTCACTATGAGTCGGAAGCGACTCCGCAATGGGTCTGTTTTATGGGTCAGGATTTTTTTTTTTTTTTTAATCGCAAAATGAGACTCCATGAAAAGCCAAGGCACTCATCCAGATAGTGAGGGGGCTGTGTGCACGTTGAGCTCATGCCGCCCATCACAACATCTTTAAAAAGAGTTGTCAGTCAGGCACTGCTGTTCTAACCACTGTACTGGAGCTGGCTCGTAAAGGCTTGTGAACTTTGACTGTTAACATCTTCAGGAATCTTGGGAGCCAGTTGTTAGAAACACAACCATTATTAAAAATTAAATTATATAAACTTACAATATTCTGTTTTAAAAAGGTGGTACTCAGAGCCCATCATTTATTCATTATTTTACCACATTTTACTGTTGTTTATACCTTTGAGGTAAATTACCTTCCTTATTAGCTGTTTGGTAGAAATATTTCATAATGTGCAGCTGCGTCTCTCTTCCCATCTCCCCGTTCAGTGACAGCTCATTGATGTAGCTCAGAATTGGCCGTGGGAGTATTTATACGATGGAAATCTGCAGATGCTGTGAATCGGTTTGATTTATGATTTTCTTGATTGTCTAGAGGTAAGAAAGTGATGGGGGAAATAATAATGCAGATTAAAGTTAAGTGTGTCAGGTATGTAGCCATTTTACTGTAAATACCACAGAAAATTGAAGAAACAGCCCAACATTTGAAAACGATTACCTGATTTAGCAAAGGAGTTATTTTTTCATTTTCGTTTTGCTAATTGATGTAAGTTAAAATATCAACCAGCATTCATGTCAGAACTACACTTGCTTGTTAATTACAACTTTGGCAAAACCCAAGGAAAGCATTTTGTGAGAATTAATTGGCTATATGGAATTGACGATAAAGAGTAGTGTATGTTTTATTATTTATGGATTGTGTGCTGTACATCCTTTCAATAAAATTAATAATACACATTTTTCTCCCCTAGAGAGCTAGTTGTTAAGCCTTTATCAGCATACCTCTATTTTCATATAGTCATTTGATCTTAACCCCATGATGCAATACTGTTTTCTAGATAAGAAACCCAAGGCCCGCAGGATTTATGTTACTCAAGGTCACACAGCTAAGCAGAGGATTGGGTTTCAAACCCTGATATTTGGGCTCCAGGATCTCCTCTGGTGGCATAGTGGTTAAGAGTTTGGCTGCCAACCAAAACGTGGGTAGTTCAGATCCACCAGGCGCTCCTTGGAAACGCTGTGGGGCAGTTCTACTCTGTCCTATGGAGTCACTGTTGGAATCGACTAGACGACAATAGGTTTTTTGGTTTTTGCATCTGCTCTTAGGTGCTGTCCCATTACAGAAGAGCGCTGGCCTGGCTGGTGGCTCCTTAGCAGAGTAGTTTAAGTCTGCTTTCTCTGATCTGTATATGCATGGAGCTTATAACCAACTCATGGTGTTTTCTGGGAGTGGGTAAAAGGAGAAGCTCCTGGTAAAGGATTTAGTATGTGTTGTCGTTAGGTGCTGTTGAGTTGGTTCCAACTCGTAGGGACCCTGTGTACAACAGAAGTAAACACTGCCCAGTCCTGGGCCATCCTCAATTGTTATGCTTGAGCCCATCTTTGCAGTCAACGTATCAATCCATCCCGTTGAGGGTCTTCCTCTTTTTCTCTGACCCTCTATTTTACCAGGCATGATGTCCTTCTCCAGGGACTGGTCCCTCCCGATAACATGTCCAAAGTATGTGAGATGAAGTCTTGCCATTCTTGTTCTAAGGAGCATTCTGGCTGTACTTCTTCCAAGACAAATTTGTTTGTTCTTCTGGCAGTCCATGGTACATTCAGTATTCTTCACCAACATCATAATTCAAAGGCATCAATTCTTCTTTGGTCTTCCTTACTCCTTGCCTAGCTTTCACATGCATATGAGGCGATTGAAAATACCATTGCTTGGGTCAGGCGCATCTTAGTCCTTAAAGTGACAGTCTTTGCTTTTGAACACTTCAAAGAGGTCTTTTGTAGCAGATTTGTCCAATGCTGCATGTCATTTGATTTTTTGGCTGCTGCTTCTGGGGGGTTGATCGTGGATCCAAGTAAAATGAAATCCTTGACAACTTCAGTCTTTTCTCCATTTATCGTGATGTTGCTTATTGGTCCAGTTGTGAGGATTTTTGTTTTCTTTATGGTAAGATGTAATCCATACTGAAGGCTGAAGTCTTTGCTCTACATCAATAAGTGCTTCAAATCATTTAATATCATTCCTTCAACTCCTAAATAAAATTTTCTCATACTTAACTCATAGTAGGAAGAGATGTCTTCAAAAACCCTTTGCAAACAGTAAAGTCCTTACAGACATTAGCTGATTGTTTTGCCTTAGAAAATGCCAGAAGTAGAGGAGAGGAGAAAGGTGGAGTTCCTAGACAGGAAATGAGGGAGAGACTGAGAACCACTGCTGTAGAAGAATATACCTGGGGAACCTGGTCATATAATAATTTATGTTTCTGTCTTTCTCCCCACTTCCTTGTTGTGAGCTTATGAATGTCTTTCTTGTTTTTACAGTTCTAGTGTCTTACACAATGCCTAACAGTCTCTCATAAATGTTATTTAGATTAACTACTGATGGAAAGGCTTTTTGATGTTTTATTGGGGTTATAATCATAAAAAAATTTTCATGTGCAAAACACACGTCTCTAGACTTAATACAGTTGCAGGCCTTTTTTCAAAGAAGTCTGATGTAGGACACCTACTGGCTGAGGGCTTAATACCTCATGTTGCTATAGATTTCTGAAGTGCTTAATCCCACTTCCTTCGTCTGTGCAGTGTGGGTGTATAGTGGGTGCATTCTTTTGGGCCAGAGAAGAGGGCTGCCATTGAAGCTCCTTCAGAAAGTTGTTTGTTTCTTCTTTTCTGTTTGAGAGCTTAAGAAAAGGGAAAATACCCCCTCTTCACTCAAACATAGCAAAGGATTCTAGGTGTTTATATTTTCAAGCACTCAAATCCAGACTGTAATAAGCAGACAATTGTCATCGAGAGGTTTCACACTTTATTTTCTAGGGATTTTCTATTGTTGCTGTTCACTTTAATAGACAGTAGAATTACACGTTGCCGTGGCAACCCATCCATTGTCAAAGCTGCTCGGGCCTTAAAGATACAGGAAGCACATTTGGTTTTCTTCCATAGATCTG